TCAGTAATTTTCTACCAGAGTTGCACGCTTTTGGTATGTAATAATTGTTAACATATCATAAATGTTTTATATACAATTTATATTTGTATTTGTAATGTAGTTTCATAAGAGAGTTTTCCCATATTGAGCCATTAATTAGGTTTTGTTATCAAACTGGATATCAATATAGTTTTTTATTTCGCTATTTTACAAAATAGCTCTATTGTTTAATTTGTGTGTTATCGAATATGTATTGTTACACAAAATATGAATGACTTGTACTAAGGGATGCTAGTACTGCTTGCATCATCACTTACAATTCCTCAATTCATAATCATTGTCCTATTCTCTTCTGTATATGAGCTTTTGCAGTTGATAACAATAAATTTAATCAAGACTAAATAGTGCAGCTACAGACCCCTTAATGTAAGTTTATTATGAATTATTTTAGTATTTCGCCCTTGAAAATAAGCAGAGTAATCCTTTGATGATTATCAATCCCAGCCCCCAAAGTCTATTAAATCTGGATTTGAAACAGCCTTAACCCTATGAGAAATGCTCGCAATTAACACTTTTCAAATTTAAAACAAATATTGTTCAATTTTCGAATCGGATTAATTATTATGGATGTACGCAGAGTTCAAAAGTGGTTACGGTCTGTAGTTTGTAAAATGTCAGAGTGATACGAGTATCGAACATTCGCAGTTCAGTAAATCTCGTTTGCATATGTTGTTGACTTTGTGTCTGTTTATGTAATCTGCGGTCCCGATTTCTTTTATTTACCCTACCGCGGTGCGTGTTCCCTCAGTTCTTGATGTACGTGTAGACTATATTTAGATTTTTTGTAATCTGGGTTAAAATCACTAGAAAGTAATGGTCACTTTCAGTGGTATATTAATATAGAGTACTCATGTTCAATTAATTACTGCATTAATAAAATTGTATTGTGTCGCTTGTAAAATACATAATTAAGCTTACACTTCAGTCTGTGAAAATTTATCTTTTTGTTTCACATCATAGATAATATAATTTGTCATTAACTCCGACACTGGAAATCAACATATACACATTGATATATATATCTTTCTCTCATCCTCTTTTACCCGTAGGTGTCGAGGTTTTTTATTTATTTGATTGATCTATTTGGACAATGGTAGGACTCCTTGGATGAGTGATCAGCCCGACGCAAGGCCTCTGTCTATACAAACACAGAAAGACGCGGACAAACATCCATGCCTTGAGTGGGACTCGAACCTATATATATATATATTTATCAAACCTTGTGCATTACAGTTTTCCTATTTAGTTGTCAGCGTAAAATAACGCTCTGTGCCTACAGGACACGCAATATAAAGGCAAAAATAAAGTTTTACCAGGATTTTAAGTAAGCACCATGGCATGTAGACGAATGATGGAGTAGATGTATGGGGTCGGTAATTCTTAACATTGGCACTAAATGGAAGTCAGTGGCTAGCTCCTCGTACAGGCTGCTGTGCTTCCGAGGAGGGAATTCTGTTACCCGGTGGGTAGGAGGCTTAGTGGTCCCTGGAGCCAGTTTGGACGTTGTGGGAATGCAAAGAATCCTGCCCCATAGAATCCTGGTGTGTTCACTGTCCTGAACTATTCCAGCTCCGTACTTATTAACTGAGACAGAATACGAATCTCTTATAAAAATGTATTTTTACGGAAGCAACATTACGAATAATTACTTCGACGTGAAGTGTAAAAAAATACTGCAATCATCTTAAAGCTTTATTTTTACTGTCTATTACTAGATGTAATCGGAAGAATTGAATTCATAATAAATATAAGCAACCCTATCAATTATGTATGATCAATAGCTTTCGCGGCGCCTAAATTCAGCAAAGTTTTCTCGGGCAATCAACAGCTTCTGATCGGATCCCTGTTGATGAAGGTCGAAACGATTCTCGGAAAGTCAGTATTTTCTAGCGACAAACCGAAACTGCTTATTGTCCGAATAGACTTCATTGAAGCCTGTTAATTCTTCTTTTCCAAATTCAGCGCTTAATGATTGGACTCTGTAATCGGCTCTAGTTTTCAATTGATATTTAAATGTACGAATCCTTCTAGACATTTGGCAGGTCTTCATGGACGGGAGATAAGCCTCTCAGACGTCAGTTTCTATACAGGATAGCACAATACAAGAAGAAAACACAGACATTTACCCCTGCCGTGAGTGGGATTCTAACCTGTGTCCTCTTTGTTTGTTTTATCACGCCATACAGTGCGCGACCACTATGGTCGGTCACAAATATTAGGAAAAGTAATTAATTAAATTGTGGTAGTACAGTACTAACGTGACAGTTGGTGGTAAGTCGTTTCATGCCCAATGTGTAGACTTCCATTACCGGTTTCTCCAATTGAAAAATAAATGAAAGTCAAAGACAGACACAAAGATGTGATGGTCATAAACAGAACACAGCAATACTTAGTCTTTTTTGACTGCTCGAAGAATTATTTCCTATGGTGCAAGATCCCTCTTGGCAGACTGAATTTTTTCAGTCTGCTGAATAATTTCCCGCTTTTATAAAACCCGAATTTTTGATACTGTGTACACAGAAGTCCGCCATTGAACCCTGTTACCAGTCAGTTCAAATTAATATAAATCAGCTTTCTGTGGTTCTGTGAGCGAGAGAAAATCATTTGAATAAAAGAAGTACTCTAATTCATATTTCCGATTGGAATAAAAGCTGGGCTTTCAGCTACTGTGTTATGAACGTGTGTGAGAGTGGAAATATTTAAACTTATCACCGTTTCTCTTTGATCACTGTCAACAGAAATGGGATGGTTGTCGAATATTCGATGTAATGTGATACGAGAGGCGCTGTGGTTTGCCAGCTGGCGGTAGGTACGAACTTTAGATGCTGCATGAACCATCACGGTCCCGCTGCTGTAGTGCATCGTAATGCTGTTTGCACTCGGTGTATAATTTTAATTACTTTTTAGACATGACTGAACCGGTGCTCACTAGTCATGACACCGGTTTTATATCAAATGAAACACTACGCCTGAAAGTAGTGCGCGGCGACATGTCACCACGTGCAGGGAATAGTTGCACAGTTTCACAGTTTTTAAAATGGCTGGGTTGAGGGTTTCAGGACAAGAAATGTAGCCAAAATTGTGAGCTCTTTATCTTCCTGCAAGATGTAAGAGGTAAGTTTACAGTTACAGAATACTAGAAACTAGAACTATTCTTTCCAACGGAAAACTCTCACGGTGAATCGACCGTTCCGTTGATTGAAACCCATCGTTTTATTGATCATTTAGCAAGGCTTTATAACTTATGTACCAGCTACTTTCAGCTACTGAGGAATTTGTTAGGTAAACAACAAATAAACTCCTATGCAGAGAAAAATTGAAAATATTTTCATGGGGTGTAATCTCACGGCGGCGTGTATGAAGATATCTCTGTTCTGGATTGCTGTGTCGTGCAGCCTGGTAGAAGTTCACAGACGTTTCAGAGGTTTTCACCTCCATCATAAGGGCGATCCCTCTGAAACGTCAGCAAACTAAACACACTAAGTGGCGCAACAAATTAGAAGTCAGCCATCTTCAGAAATATCTTCAGTCGTAATATTTTGTGCCTCGGTAAAGTTTAGATCCTGGTTCCTCCAATTTTAAAGTTGGTCGTTTTATTGTGAACTACCCTTCCTGTTCGTTTTAAGTTGATCTGAAATGCAGGAAAGTACAATTGACGGCTTGAATTGTCACCGATTTTAAAAGACGCCTCTGTCAAATTCCGAAGTCTTTTACATCAGAAGACGTCCTTCTCTCTAAGCGATTTAGTTCGTTCCTGTCATAAATTGTCGTGGCGCCGTATTATTACCACTGTGGCGTAAGTACATCTCTGCATTTCAGTTATGGAGTAGAGTGAGTCTGTCTCTGCTTTAGCACACAAGCTCAACATCGATGTCCTTGTTTGTGGATATCCACATTTCACTGCCACCGGATGAATATAATTGTGTAATTAACATTATAATACATATAGGGTCATTAAGCAACACATCATTCAGTCTAAACAGACTTATCAAGGGTCGGAGACGTGGCCTAAAGCCCTCGAACGGTAGTGAACCAGCGGAGGCTGTGATAGCAGCTGGCAGGCGTGTTGCATGATTGACACGTCCAGATAGCATGGGTTCGTCCCTCGACAACCGTGGTCCATTATTATTGCAGTAGGAGCCACGTCTCTCTAGGACAGCAATTACCGAATACTGAAACCTTGTTTCTGTAACAGATACGCGGATTTTTGCCAAATAGAACGCGTATAAGATGTTTATGAAAAGTAAAGTATTGTATTCACGTGATATTCTGTGGTCATTACATACGAGTAAGTAACTTCTAACGTTGTAACATTAGTCCTACGAAGAAATTCTCAAGAAGTTAATAGTCGCTTAGCTAATCAAGAAATTACCCGTCTATTGTGAAACCTGAAGGTGTATTTCTGTGTTTTATAGAGTTCCCCGCAGGCCCCTATTCTGAACTGGGTTATTCAAATTCGAAAGCTATAATCATATTTTTGGATTTGTTTTAATATTGTCGCCCCCGTCTACACATAGGATGGGAATTCTGAACTTTCGTTCAGACTTCCAAACCAAAAAATCGGAACTAACATGTTTTTTTACACAGCGGGCTCTCATGGGCGATATATTTTTTAAAATACTTTTGGTTGATTGGTGATCATTTGCTGTTCGATTTTGGTCTGTCTGGGATATTTATAAATGTGTGTTTGTTAAAACCGTTGCAATGATAATGCTGTTGTGGGATTATCGAGCTTGTGGGATAATATTTATGACTCTGTGTTTACAGCTTTTGGTTTTCCCGTCATTCTTGATGGGCAGTTTACTATGAAGACTACTGGTTCTGCTAGAGTTTGAGGGGGTACCACTGTTGGCAATGCTCTGCCATTACATGACAACGATAGCAAGTCAGTTTCTGCTGCCTTGTCGCTTGACTGACACGTTTATTTATCCTTGGACTTAGGCCAATGTCTCTTCCCACAGATATAAAAGGAGTAAGTGGCTGTAGCCTCTTTTAAGGTGCTGTCTCAGAATTCGCCTGGATGTACTGAGGAAAATTACAAATCCTTAGGGCCAAGGATCCTGGGATTTCCGAAAAGAGGGCAGAGCTGGTACCTACTCAGCCGAAATGTTGAGAGCTGTCTCTTGAACGTGTAGGTAAGTTTTACAGTGTAAGCTTTCAAGGGTACAAACACACAGACAAAACATGCAGATTACATAAACACGTGTTGGGAAACTTCTCTTGGCAAGGCATAATAAACGAAAGACATCGACTGCAGTGCATTTCTGCAATCAGGGCCGCCATTTCTCTCTGCCACACCGTATCTGTTTAGCGTGACGAGTATCGATGTCTGCCCCTTTATCTGTTTGCATTTGTCAGCTGCTGAATTGAATACAAGAGCGATCTAACTAAACGCCAACACGTTTGAATCAAACACGTTATATACGGTTTACTGTAAGAGAACATACGGGTATTCGGGAGAACTAAAAAAAGACTTATCTAACTAATATGACGAGAATTTCCTAATGCTGATGCCGTGATTTTTTTATAAATACATTAGAGTCAGTAAAATACCTTCGATTTGTTAGCTGGAAATTCCTTACAAGATCATTCGACTAGTAATCTGTGGATTGATGCCGTATGATGAGTCGATATCTATCGAAGGAGGCCATGAAATGTCTGATTCACGACTGTATGACTCGGAGGGTAGATGTTATTGTAAAAGACTGTTTTTGAGACATTTCAGCCTTAAATGTTCCTTCAAAAGTTACATTGTTCTTATCATTAATATATTTTATCACGTGACTGTCTCATTTTGTGTTTCTTATTGAAATCGTGGACCCATCCTTGAAGAGGAACTTTTTATTTTCAGAGTTTCACGCTCTTATATCAACTGCGCCCCCCTCATTCACAAATGCAAATTAAGAAAGAAAGAAAATAAGTAAATACAAAAAAAAAAATGCAGACATTTTACGGTTTCCGAAGTCATTATAGAAATGATGATTAGAAAATTGCCTTAGGGGGAATCTAATCTTGCTTCAGCATCTTAGGCAAGCCTGCCACCATCGGAACTATTGCAGACGACCTAATTACACATGCCTTTTAGACGTCTACGACGGAAATAGAAAAGAACATGATGTTTTACGAAGAAACAGTAGAGTGTCGACTCCTGATATTTTGGCCAGGAAGTCAAAGGAGGTTCCTCTGCATATTGCAGAACCGAAGCCAAATCAAACAGTTTCATTCGACTGCGTCTCCTTGTTAGTGGGTGAACCCCAAGGGCAGAGTCACTTGGGAGACTCAAACATAAATGAGAGAATAGCATTAAAACGTGTCTTACATAAATAAGGTTGAAGAAGCACACTTGATTGATATGGCGTAAAATAGTCTGGATTCTGTAAATTTTGTGTTAAACTTTAGGGTTTCATATTAGGATCGGTAGTCACTAGTCACTATATTCCATTAGGACGCATTTCGAATCACTGCTCCGTAGCAATTTGTATCCATTTATCTGTCAGACAAATATATTTGTTTGTTTATTTTCCTATTGGCCGTGATAAAACGCATTGGCCTTCGTCTTATATTACCAATGGTTGTACTGAATATTCCACCTAAGTGTTCCGTATCTTATTTATTACGAATTCTTTCTATGTTATCTAAATGCAAATTTGTGAGATGGAGTGGTATGGTTATTTTGTTATGGCCTACATTTCTGTTAGAATTCACTCAAGGGCTTCTTTCTTATAAGCACGAAACTGCTTTCACAGCCGGTGAGCATGAGTAGACCTATACATAAAACATTGTCTTCACTGACGTTAGAAAGATGTCTCAAATGAAGTTATTCCGTCGTGAAAAAGTGCGTAGTATAACATGTAATATAGGTAAATATTCCCAATAAAATGTAATTATTTCAGTATTCTGTTTAATTATGCCTTTATGGAGTCAGATGAAGGGGAAAATACAATGACTGTAGACAGAATTTATACTGAAGACACAATGGTTTCAGGTCAACGTTAGTGACTTAACCAGCCATATAAAACAAAGAGATATTAGTTCCCAGTTATTTAGTGGAACTTAATGTAAGCTTAGTAAAAGTTCAGCTAATTCTAACCTTTCCAGCAGCGTCTTTCAGGAACTGTCTGCGTCATTGAGCTGTTCAAGGAGTTCCTCAGTGCGGAACCAGAACTCGTGTCACGAGTCACCATCATTACCGCAGCCCGCCTGTGGGTCATGTTCTGAGCTACATAAATCCATTAAAGTCATTACAAGGTTCTCTCGTACATTCTTCACAGTATTCATAGGTCCTCTTCACAAATTTTCAAGGTTCTTGCTTTCTTTTGAAACTCCGCAAACTGTAAAAAGCGTAAATAGAAGATTTACGAATTACCAATACTGGAAATATATTATATATCACATATCTCAAAATTTTGCACTGTTGATAGACTAGAACCTTTAACATATAAGAGCATTTTATAAAAAAATTGTCGGTGGTTTTTATGTAAACCTAGAACCGGCAACTTGAGACACGTAGTCCGCATGTGGACCGTCTTATGATTTTAGAATTTTTCAGTGCGAGAAACGAAGTCCTGTTCGAGGATCATATTAAATGGCGCTAGCATTGTTCCGAGTTCAGAAGTTTCAATTATCTTACAAATTGGCAGACCTACTTTTGGCGGTAGAAAAGTAGCAACATCAGAGACACTGATGTGGAGGTGGACTCGAACTGCGTGATGTTCATAAAATGTTTCATTAAAATAGATCAGATGAAAATTATTACGGACAGACAGTCCTATATTATAATATCTCTCCTAAATGGGCCTAAAATGATGAAAAGAAAATGTTGGCGAACCATTTGCGTCAGATTCCTCAATATTATTCAGTAGCAAATTTCATTATTGGAATTTTATTTCTTACTATTCAAAGGCGAAATAACGCCCTGGAGGGATCTTTGAGATGTTCAATAAATCTCCCCTATTTTTATTAAATCTGAAGATTCACTATCATGTTAGCAGGAATTCGCCACTTTTCCCTATCCACAGAGAGACGAATTTATTCTATATCCTCCCACCTTATAACTTAAGTTATATTATCCCCTCTATGCATCTTTTTTTCAAGTACACTCTTTTTTTGAGAATTTACAACCAAAACTTCGCATGAAATTTTATTCTCACCCATACAAACTGCATGCCTTACTCATCTGATTATCCTTAAGTTGATCAAAGCATTATACGGAAGATACAAAGTACATTAAGTATTTTGATATGACATTAATGATAATGACTTTGCTTTATAATTATTATTTGTAAGTTAGATGTGAGATAAAGTGTGTCAGAATTGTGCTAAAGGCTGTAGTGTTGGAAGGTGTTCCATGTCTGATTAAAGCACTGAAAGAAAAACTGAGACCAAAGTACCTTTAATTTAATTTTAAATAGCGAATGGAAATGCAAAAGTTCATGAATTTGTGTTACCCTTGAACCATACGTTACTTTATCACTTAGTAAATTAATGTGACCGCGATACAAGTTGAATGTTTTATCAAGACCTAATTTTGCTGAGAGTACCATCAGCGATGCGTGCACCGTTATTCAGAATAATTCGATTGTCTCCTGACAATATCGAATTAGCTCCGCACTGGCGGTTTGTGGACATGAAATCGTCGTATTTTATTCCGTTGTATTATGCAGTTTTACTTTCTGTACTCTGTATGACTTAATGAGAACTATGATGGTTGATCAGAAATACAAGAACATCGAGTAGATATCTGATGATTGAGAAAATGCCGCAGATTCCTTGAAGATAACCCCGCGATTTTTTTCTTCAAACGATTGTCCCTTCCGAAGAGTTCATTAGCAGTGCATGTGAAAGGAAACGGAGAGCAGCTAAAGAATGTGGCCTACATGTTTTAGGTTTTGAAATCTGAAGGTAAGAGGATACTCCTGTAGACTTAGAAGTAGAAGGTAGGGTATTACAAGCTGTTTCAAGTTCAGAGTTAATGAAGCTTTGCAATTACTGGGAAGATTATCATGTCAGCGTTTGAAGTCATATTTAAGGGTATTAATATGAAGGAAGTGTCCTGGAGAAACTGGTGAAAACACTGGCAAAATAACCCACAGTCAGGATAGCTGTTTGATTGGAAAGATATACTTCTTGAATGCGTCTAGACCTTTACCTCTGTACAGTTGATGTAGTGTCGTTAAAATGAAGTTAATATAAAATGGAAATGCATATTGTATAGAAGCATTTGGAAAATCCATAAATCAGTGATAACTTTAGATCAGCTTTTCTTTTATTTATCGATACATTACAGCAGCTTTTGAACGTCCGTGCAAACATAAAACAAAAGTGGCCCTGGTTTGGGGCATGTAGCCCGACTGTACAGCCACTCTATCACAGAAACACTGTGAATATTTTAAATGGCGGCGACTAAAGCAGAGCCCACACAACTGTCATGATTTGAACCCGCCTTTGCACAGCTGTGCGTGCTACAGAGGACTGGTTTGTTTAATTGCAAGTCCTGCCATTCGGTGCAAATGACGTACGATTTGCAGAGTGGATGGCCACCGATTCCGTATTCCCGTCAGCTTGTCTGAAAAAAAAAATGGAAAACCTGTTTGAAGAGCAAATCAAAATCTGACTAAAAACTATTGAACGTTTCTCAGGGTTCGTAATTAAGCAATGACATTAATGATTTTAATTTCTTTATGCTGCTTTCTTATAGTTTTCAATAAAATATTTATAACTGCTGCTTAATATTTTCCCGTTATTTTTGACGGCAAAAATGGACAGAGACGTGTGCAGCTCCGGGAAAGAGACCATTTTAGAAAATTTGACGTGAATGGGAAATAATTATTAAACTTTTCTTATGGAAATATTATTTAAAAATGTAACCTAGATGGTCTTGCTCAAGATTGTGCCAAATGGCGAGTTTTTGTAAATATCGTTACAAATATATGGGTTTCTTGAACACAGGAGAGTTGTTGACAAAGATTAATTAGGTTTTCACTGAAGAATATGTACCAAAGATTTACGATCGTGAAGACGTATATAACCTGAATTCTTTAAGTAGGCCAGCTTGAAATAAAATTGTTAGAAATTAATAGCGTAACAACAATATTTTCCGAAGAAATTCATCTTTTATTTTATTACGGACATGATC